AGAGAGAGAGAGAGAGAGAGAGAGAGAGAGAGAGAGAGAGAAAGAGAGAGCGAGAGAGAGAGAGAGAGAGAGAGAGAGAAGAGAAGAGAGAGAAGTGACGAGAGGGGGGAAGACAGACAGCGAGTGGGAGAGTCAGAAAGAGGGGAGAGGGGTGAAAGGAGAGAGAAGTAGGGAAAGTGAGCATGTGAGAAAGGGGAGAGAGGATTACATTACTATATTTCATATTCACAGCGAAAAAAGATCAACGATTTAAATTAAATGTGGATGGGTGGATGAACAGAAGAATGGAAAGATAAACAAACAGGTAAGCAATGCATGTAGGCTGTTATGTAGGCAGGTAAGCATTCAGATAGGCAGGTAGGGAAGCAGGCAGGCAGTTAAAACGAGATAGATATATCTGAAGCAGTGTCTTACCTTGTCCAATTCCACTTCGGATGCTAGTGAATAGGAAGCCCTCACATACGATGAAGGTCTGGTTGAATCTGCTAGGAAAGCATTGCCTGGTGCGAGCAGTACCTAAAGAACAGAAACGACAACACATACCATGTGAGCGGTCACTAAGTATAAACAAGCACTCAGGAAGACAGCACCATATCCACCATATGCCCCACATATATAGCCATATATGGTAGATAGCACCATATCCACCATATGCCCCACATATATAGCCATATATGGTAGATAGCACCATATCCAGTGTAGTGGACAGTAGACAAACAGGGAGGTATACAATCTGGCTGACAGACAGGTAAGATGGTAGGCAGGTAGACAAGCAGACATACAAACAGGTAGACAAGCAGACATACAAACAGGTAGGCAGGCAGGTAGACAGGCAGGTAGACAGGCAGGCAGGCAGAGCCAAGGTAAGAATGCAGGTGGGAAAATTTGGATAGGTAAGCAAATACAGATGTAACTTCAAGCCACAGCTTCACTCTCACATGCCCACCTGCCACTTTAGAAAAACACATCGCTTCGCCTAACTTTTTATTAGTTTGTTGTTTTGGTTTACTTCCCAAAAGACACCAGTAATGGATACCAAGGATTAATGCATAATATAACATAAAATGACACAGGAGTGGGCAAGCAGACACGTAGTCCAACTTCAGACATCCGTACAAAATATCATATCGAGTACTACCTCTTTTTTCAAAGCTCTTTCAGATATCATTTTGCTCGTGTCTTTAACCCCGGGAACATTGATCCACACAAACATGCCTCCAGTTGGCTCATTCCATTCAGCCAGACCTAAAAACGGATTACCAGATTATCACAAGTCGAGGTAAACCAATCAAACATTTAAGCATTAATTTAAAGGTACTGTGTATGCTTTCAGACGCTAGACCATTTGAAGTGTATTGTGGAGAAATGAGGAGCGGAGTATCCCGACATGCACTTCGGTAGGAGGAGAACAAAATGACGTCAGAGGCACTCGTGCCCCTGATACGTGCACACCGAAGTGAACGGTTTAGAATCTAAGTATAGTGTAGGCGGTACAACAGATGAAAGGGCCGGGAGATCAATTTTAAACATTAATTGTTGTGAGCAGATGTCAATCAAACAGTATGGTAAAACTTTAAACAATTGCTAGCAGTTACAATCCAAACACCGCTATCACAAACTATCCAAGCAGCTTATAGCGCTCTGTAAATGTTCCTGCATCAAATCGTTAGCCTGCCTCTTCTAGTGATGAATCTAAGCTTTATACAAAAACACCACGTCTAGGAGTTATTCACCATATCTAAAATATCTTATGATGGGTTATGCTGGCAGATGGTTTCTTCTCAAATATTCGGTAATTAACGTATTGCAGTACAACATATATGATTGGGCTCCTTATATTTCAATTTCCCATCAGTATCAGTCTGATGAAGCATACTGTCAACAGCTGGCTGGTGTGTGGTAAATGTTTTTTAGGTGCCAACCGTATTCTGCTGACAATCCCCTTGTAAAGCGTTCGATCTATATTCGTCTACAAGAACGTATGATCTCTTCACACATTCACTCTATCAATATAGTGGCTGGAATCATTCCTGTACAATCTGTTACATTCTATCTCTTTCCTGTAATACCTTTTAAATGTTTTGTTGCTGCGGCTATCATTTTTTCCTTCTGACTCATGTAGAAATTTCGAACGCTGAAAATAGATAAACAGAAATGAGAATGTTTGATTATACATTACAGCCATTTATAATAGTCAAACGCAACTCAAATGTCCTTACTACTGAAGATTAATCGTGTGTGTGTCACTAAATAAACCAATATAGCCTTCAGGGTAAAACTGCCTACCATGTATTTGCTAGGTAATTAACAAGTGATTAACCATGAAGGGTAATAAATCGAGTGACACAGGATATCTACCTGACCATAATTTCAAATATATTAAATGCATCCACCCCTCTTGTACAGCTTCAGTTGTATATACTATAGTATACAGTGTTCACAAAATGATATATCTAATAATGTAACACCAATGTTGCATGCTAAACCAAGATGTAAACTGATCAGCTTAATTTGGCAAAATCACCCCTATGTGGTTATCTATCACCCCTTACTGGAACCACAAATATATGACAACAGTTCCCAATGCTCATACAAGAGATTCGAGCAAAATGGTTGTGCAATGTGACGGTGGGGACAGCGAAGACAGTTGGGTGTGGCAGGCACACTATGATTGACATGCGTGTGGCAGTGCATATAACTAACTAAAGTAGTTTAATACTTGCTTAGTCACGTGGTCCATAAATCCTGCATGACCAATATCTTTTAGCAGCTCTAATATTAAAATCTGAAAATCAGAACAAACATTTCTGAAACATAAATATAGCTCAATACATTATTCATCGATGTAAACCAGACGAGTTGCATTTTAATGAGTACATGAGCAAGCGCAGAGTATTGTGATGCATATATATCTACATGACAATATTAAAATTTCAGCTAATATAATGGCAATGCCGCCGATTCATCTAACAGATGTGTGGGCCAGCCTATTTAGAATTTTGTCTCTTTAGCATATCTTCATGGTATTATTAGAAATGACATTAGTTTTAAGCAAGTTTGGTTGAATGTTTTTTAAGCTGCGCTAATACGATGTTACGCCGCACAGTGCTGCGTGTGACGTACCTGTGCTAAGGCACTGGTATGCAGTAGCGACACCTGAATATGATACTCAATCCTCTGCATCAAAGGTTTTGGACCAGTCATGAATCCAACTCGTAACCTAACAGATAGTAAGAAACGACGTGGATGCTCTTAAAATCCAGCTTACAGTACAAGACAGGAAAATGGATGATGTGGATCATGTGCGATTATAAAACTTAAGGATGTCGGAACTGCAATTATTATAACCTAATAAATGACCACAACATGTCTTAACAGCAAAATACACATGCAATCAGCCACCAGCTGTACACATCAATCACCTAGTTATATATACAATGACAGTCAACATTGGCATGCAGATGCTTGCATTTAAAAACTGCTCCTCTGGGAATTCAATCGAATCAAGTTTGTCAGATGCAATTAATGGACAGTATACACAGCGCCACCCACAGTCACAAATCATTAATGATTGTAGCACACTATGCACATACCCGGCTGAGAGGACTTTGGAGAACGAGTCGAACCTCATAACTCTACCATCTACGTCCATCGACAAGAAACTCGGTGACGGCTTCTATTTGCATAGAGAACAGCCACGATAAACGCTCAAGCATGACAGCCATGTAAAACAACGTATCACTTCATTATACTTATATGATTATAGTTTAATTACATGGCATACACAAACTCACTGATTTTCCAGCTTGATGATGTCAAAAGCAATCAGTCAATATAATGAGTCAATGTATCAAACGTAATCATGTGCAATGTTGATGTCCGCATGTTCACATATGCAGGCCCGTAGCCAGCTTTATATTGGGGGGGTTCGTTTTTCAATGTTGCAATTTGCTCGGCAGGGGATGTACAGGATTTGTACCAGGGGGGGTCTAACCGTAACCCAAAGTTGTGAGCACGCGAAGGGAGGGAAATTTTTAAAATTACACCCCCTCAGATGCGTTTTCTGCGCGAGCAAGGAAGGGTCCGGACTCCCTGGACCCCCCCTGTACACGCCCCTGCTCGGGCGCAAAGCGACCAGGCGAGGGAGCCAAGCGACCGAGCGGGGGGAGGGTGTGGGAAGGGGTGTTCACTGTTCAGGCCAAACAAAAAAATAGGTGTGTTTCCGGTCGACCGACCGTCCCTAGATTATTAGGGCCGACCCTAAACTTTTTTTTAAATTTGAAATCTGACAGACAAAACTTGAGATTTTTTACTACAAACACGTTCTGTACTTGCTTACTAACTTATCCCTACCTATACACCACTTTATAGCATGCATCAGAGGGATATTAGGAACCGAAGAATAAAAAAAATATTTCAACAAAAAAAATGCCTACCTACCTACCCTACTTTTGTTTTCGATGCAATAGGAAACACACCTATTTTTTTGTTTGGCCTGAACAGTGAACACCCCTTCCCACACCCTCCCCCCGCTCGGTCGCTTGGCTCCCTCGCCTGGTCGCTTCGCGCTCGAGCAGGGGCGTGTACAGGGGGGGTCCAGGGAGTCCGGACCCTTCCTTGCTCGCGCAGAAAACGCATCTGAGGGGGTGTAATTTTAAAAATTTCCCCC